CACCGAGGAGGACCTCTACAAGGAGGTGGCCGCCGCCCTCCACAACCCACCCGTGCGTATCCTCGGTCAGGGCCTCACCAACTTTCATCTGCTCCTCCCAAAGACCCAAAAGCAAGGTCGACACAGGGGTTATGCCTTCCTCACCATAGCAGAGGTCTCCACCGCCTCGGCTTTGATGGAGTATTGCTCCACCGAACGCAAGCGCCGCCCCCTGCTCATTGCCCGCGATGGCAAGGCAAATGCACTCAAGCTCATCCCCAACGGCTTCGGCAAGGAACACATCATCCGCGAGCTTCTGTCCTTTCCCTTCGAGGACTGGAATGCCCGACAGGCTAGGCTCCGCGGAGACGCACGAAGACGCCGCACCGCCGATTCGTCCGACAGTCCGAGCGACGAAGCTGCGCATGCCTTCGCCCTCACCGCCCGTCAAACTCCCACACCTCCACAGATCGCCTCACGCACTACCTACGTCCGCACGCAGACCCTCCGCCCGCAGCAGCCACGCAAGCGCATCGAGCCTGTCAAGATCCAAGGCGCTTGGTCCATCGTCCAGTTCGGTGTCATCTGCGAAGACGGCTCCTTCTCCATCGAGGATTTCGACTCGCCCCCTTCGCCCCTTCCTTCCGGCTTTGACATCAAGTCGCAGACACTATGCTTTGGTGACAAGGACAACTCCATTCGCATTCTCTTCAACAACATTGTCAGCTGGTCCATCGACCACACTCACAAGGCGCTCTCCTTCGAGCTCGAAGACCCCGCCACCTTCATCCGTCAGGGCAGAAACAGCTGCATCTTTGACTTTGTCAACCACGCCGACCGCGAGGATCTCATCCGCGACCGAACTCGCTACCGCATCCGCCTCATCGGATGCAACTTCCGCGTATGCTTCGAATCCTATTCCGACCTCGACTGGTTCTGTATCGAGGCCTGACCCTTCCTCAAGAGGGCCGGCAATCCCCGAGAGACCCCGAGAGCCATCGTCCGCAGAAATCTCACCGAGCCAAAGTTCTTCGAAGCAGCGGGCCAATTCTGCGC